CCACCACTTCCCCCTTTCCACACACACTCCACTTCATGTCATGGGCCCATCTGTCCTCTCCACACAAGCTGGTACCAAGCCTCCTAAGTCACAGCGTCCGTCACCTCCCCTGACTCACCCAGGCTCACAATTCTCAGCCACCAGGTTTAGGTCACTCCCTTCTTGTCCCTACAGTGGCCCTCACCTGACCAACCCCTGCTCCAAGTCCTTTCCGCCCACCCCGCTCATCAGACTGGTTCTGAGAAAGCTCCTATTATTCAGGTAAGTTGTCTTCTGCAGACTCCAGCCCACACCCCGCAGCCCAGCTCAGGCCCCCACACTTACCAGCTGTCTTCCTCCTCCTGTCCTGCAGTCTAGCACGGCGAGGTACTGGCCAGCCGCTCTGAGCCCATTATGCAGTACAGCATAGAAGCACCTCTACTTCTTCTGGCGTCCTGCAGCCCGTTTGAGAACGCTGACTCCCTTATATAGTGGTTCTCACCCGAGGCTGCACGTGGGACTCACCTGGGGTGGCTTTTAAAACTGCCACGGCCTGGGCCCACGCTCCCCGTGCTAATTTTATGAGCCCGAGGCTGAGCGTGGAAGGTGGAGTTTTTAATGCTCCTCAGTTGTTTGCAATATTCTCCAAGACCGAGAACCACTGCTATAGGTCCTGACCAAAGACCGGACCACCTGGGACAGCTTTTTTGAAAAACAAGATTCTCAGGCCCCTTTCCAAACCTCCTGAAGCCCAGAAACTAGAGATTAGTATTTCTAAGCAGTTTCTTCCAGAGTCTTCAGGGGCAGCTGGCCTAACTCTAGCACTGAACTCACCCCAACAGTCCCCAGTCCTCTGAAGGGTCAGCTTCTCCCCCAGCGCAATGGGGCAGGTGTGGGTGATCTGTACTTTGAGCTGTGCTGTGCACGGGGAGTGAGTGCAGCAGACCCCTCGTGCCCCTCACCACTGATTCCACAAGTTCCTCAGCTGCAGGCCTGCTCTCAGCTGAAGCTAACTGTCTGAAGAAGCAAGGGAGATTCTTCATTTCTTCCTTCCACAACCTCCATTTCAATGTAAAATCTATTCCCAAATTTTTACTGTATTTGTGCCAATGGCTATGATTTTTGAATGTGTGGGTTGAGTGCCAGGAACTAACTTAACGTCTTAGGTGCATCATCACATTTTACCTCAAAACAACTCAAGGAGTCAGTATCATGATAATATTATAGGGAAACTGAGGTTCAGAGAGGTGCAGTTGTATCCCCATGGTCACCCAGCCATGAGACTAAACACAAAGCCCATATCCCTAACCACTGTGCAACACCCAACAGGGGTGTCAGAGACCCTGCAGAAGACCCTGCTCACACAAAGAGAGAAATGGGGTTGGGAAATATTGTCCTTTTTGTATAAATAAATTTTATAAATGTCCCCATTTTGTAAACTATCAGAAGCTTAAAGTGGCTTGCACAAGGTCACACAGTAGCAGGGTCAGGAATAACCTAGAGGCTTCGAGGCTTCTGTTTCCACTACATCATGTTTTCCTTGCTAATTTTCCCCGGCCGTGGAAAGCAATGGACAGACCTTGCTGCCCTTTTTTTCTTTTTTTTTTTTTGGATAATAATTGCTTTGTCCTTCCACTTTTGAAGGTCTTCTCCTCTTCTTTGATAGCCTGAGTGATAACTCTAAACAACAGATAAGTTAATTTTTAGTCTTGGCACAAAAGAGCAGTATAGTGGACAAGAAAAAGAAACGAAGCCCTCCAGCAAGGAAACTCAACTCAGAACACACCATACGAAAAATACCACAATTTCCATCCATATTCATCAGATGGGCACAATATTAGCAGATATTTTCCTATCATTTACACAAAGAAATTAGAGGCCAAAATAATACCTCCCTGTGCCACTTTCATACCTCAAAAGGCCAAACCTTAATCAGGGAATAATTTTATTTTAACTCCTAATGATGGGATAAGTGAGTTCTCAGCCACAGTTAGGCCAAACGCCACACATCTGGGAGAGGATCTAATAAGGACCCTCAGTGCAACTGACACAGCAAATAACCCAGAGACCCTGCTTACCCATGTGGGCGGGGCTCAATCTGCCACTGCTTGCTGGCCAGTGCCCACAGACTTGCTATGTGCTTCCCGAGCTCATAAATAAATGGTGGTAAATAGCCTGGGGATAACAAGTAACCTGGCAGGTTTTCTGCAACCTGGACTAGGAACAGGCAGGGGCCCCCGCCAGGAAATCAAAAGAGGTAGCTCCTTCACACTTTTTCAGACCATAAGGGGATGTCATCTTGGTTGTGTCCCAAAGGACAAGGGGTGGGTCACTATAAATGAAGACCTTTTCAAAGATATAAAACCTCCCTCTGGGGTGAGTTTGAGACATGTGTGTCCAAAATGTAGCTACCCACCATCTCTTGGGCCAAATTCCCCTGTTTGCCATTCCCCATGTCTTAAGTCTCTCCTGCTCTTCATGCTGTAATTCATTTTCCCAGCATCTCTCACTATTAGAGTGCAAAAATGGTATCTAGGCTCCAGATACCATAGGACCCATGGCCAGGTGGGGATTCAGAAGGGAGCAAAATGATAAAGCAGGCACCATGATCCCTGGCGAGCTTGCCCCAGGATCCCCTGGCTCTTTGGGAGCAGCTGTGGAAGAACACCCAACAATTGGATGCTGGTGTCACCAGTTGGAGCTGCAGTGTCAGTGACGCATGATGGTGGCAAAGGTGTCTTCCCGGGAGCCACTCTGCAGTATGGCTACATGTTGTTCTCACTGGAAGCAGTATTGAAGATCAGAATGGATGTCCTTGTGTAAACCGGACACCCATCACCAAAGGTGCAATGTACATGCTGAGTAGACCCTGAAGGGCTGGTGCCCAGAAGCCCCTGGGGTGGCAGAGGACTATAGACCTGAGAATTGGGGCACACCTGTGTTCAGATATGGCTCACCACCTCCTGGCTCTACCACTCTGGACATGTAATTTAACTCCTGAACTTCAGGTGTCTGAGATGGAAAAAATAGATACAAACGAATACAATTACATGACTCTTATGAAAATGAACTATTAAACAAAGACAGTGTAAATAGGTGTCTAGAAATAGAGCTTAGCATAAATGTAACTTTAGCATGCTCCATAAATGTTAGTTCCTTCTTCACCCTTTATTCTTATACTGTCGTCTGATACATCAACACTTTTCCCCCTGAGCTGCCATCTCTAAATTATTCAAGTTTTGGTAAAAAAGAAAACAAAATCAAAAGGACAAAATCTTCAAGCATAACACCACTTTAAACATTTTTCAAGTTGACAATGATCTACTCATAACACTCCTGGGGTCTGTTTGATCAATGAGCCATGAAGTCATCCAATTAGACTGTCATCCAGCCTGCACCCTGACATCTTACATAAACGAATGTCATTGCCAGATACTTGTTAAAAAAAATATCACAATGGAATTTCCCTGATCTATCAGTCTATAATGTTAATTTTTAAAATGATGGATAGTAGACTCTGGTGTGACTAGGGAGGCCAGAAAGGTTCTTTGAGGGACACCCGTGTTGCCAGAGTGTGGTGGATGGGCCTATGGTGGTGGTTCCCAGCATCCACTACTGTTAGGGCCCTCACACAGGGAGCATGAAGGGTGTTCTCAGGATCCTTGCTAGATCCTGTCAAGGCTCTTGGTCTCCTTGGTGTTCAGTGGCCATGCCACTCAGGAATCAATTCAAAGATTGTTCCATTCACCTGACCACAAATATCCACTAAATGCCTATAATGTGCTAGATGCTAGAGATTCAGATGGAACAGTTGTGACATCATGGAGTTTCAGTGGGAGAGAGGAACAATTAGAAGAAGAATGACCATAGTTGTGAAGAGTATTAAAATGGGAAACCCATGAGGCCACCAGCTCACTCCTGAGTCAGCTACATGAAATTAACACTAAGAAGGTTCCAATTCTTCGAGCTATTTTCCCCACTCTTTGAGCTATTTATGAAAAATCAATACTCTCAGACAGTTATTACCTGACTGTATTTTTAAATTGGGTAAGGTAGCTTCAAATGACTTTTGGGGGTCTCTGAATACCAGATTAAGACACCTGAGCATTATTTAGGGAGCCTCTGAAGGTCTCTAAGGAAAGTGATAAAATCAGAGATACACTTGGTTGAAGATGGATGGGGATGTGGAAAGGGAGGCAGGGGCCCCATCAAAAGGTGACTTCAGTAACCTAATGGCTGACTCCGTGTGCACATCCAACAGAGATTTCACTTTCTGTACACACCTCTGGTTTGTTATGTCAGTATTGCTTCACTCAGTATTAAGCAATCTGTAGGCTAAATGTAACTTGATGTTCATGAACATAATTAATAATTATTTTCTCCACTGTAATGAGTTGAAATATGATAACAGCCTATAAAACCATCTATGAGGGCATCTGCCAAGAAAATGAAATATCCAACAGATGATTGTAAACAATGTTTAAAACAGTTATCAATCCACTAAAATCTGAAAGATATTGATGGGTTTTTTTGTTGTTGTTTTGTTGTTTCTTAGTACTGGGGATTGAACCCAAGGGCACTTAACCACTGAGCCACATCCCAAGCTCTTTATATTTTTTATTTTGAGATACAGTCTCACTAAGTTGCTTACAGCCTAGCTAAATTACTGAGGCTAGCTTTGAACTTGTGATCCTTCTGCCTCAGCCTCCAAAGCTACTGGAATTACAGGCATAAGATGTTCCTTTAATTGTGATATTTAAATGGAAAAATAACTTAGAGGGTAAGTACCATGTGTTTGATTAAAATGCCAGAAATTTTCCTTGGGTGGGCTATCCCTGAGTCGCTTTATCAGGAAAAGCTCCTCAAAATGGAAAAGGGTCTGCAGTCACCACTGAGTCACCTGCAGGACCCTTTTGAAGAGGTCAAAGTTACTGTGATTTCTCCAAAGTATTTGAAGCCACCAATGCACCACATATTCTGGTAAGTGGGGAACAGTCGGCAGGAACAATAGTTGCTCTTACCCAGCGTCATCCTGGAAGCCTTCCAACTCATCCCGCTGCTCTGCCAGTGTGGCCTCCAGATCCAGGTAGGTGCCATTGTGGGACAGCTGCAGAGTACAGTCGTCCAGCTGTGAGAGAAAGAATGTGTTAAGCCCAGTCTGCTGTTGGGGTGGGGGCATCCTGTGCAGAAGTCACATTAACTTTCAAGTGTTTTTTAAAAGCAAGCATCATGGGTAAAACCAGCCAGCAGCTAGCCAGCGAGGCGCTGTGGGCTGGCGGGCTAGTGGGATGGCAGATGAGGAAGAAGACCCAAACTTTGAGGAGAAAAATGAAGAAATTGGAGGAGGTGCAGAAGGTGGACAGGGTAAAAGAAAGAGACTTTTTTCTAAAGAATTACGATGTATGATGTATGGGTTTGGGGATGACCAGAATCCTTACACTGAGTCAGTGGATATTCTTGAAGACCTTGTCATAGAGTTCATCTCTGAAATGACCCACAAGGCAATGTCAATTGGAAGACAAGGTCGAGTACAAGTTGAAGATATCGTCTTCTTGATTCGAAAGGACCCAAGGAAGTTTGCTAGGGCTAAAGACTTGCTTACCAAGAATGAAGAATTGAAACGAGCTAGAAAAGCATTTGATGAAGCAAACTACGGATCTTGATAATTTTTGTACTTCATGAAATTTCGTTATCTTCTGTGGAAATCATATACAATAATTGTGTATTTTGTACAGTAATGTCCTAATATCTAGGCATGTAAATGAAAGATGGAAAAACAAAGTTTCAGCCTTTATTTTCATGTCTTTGATTTTAGAGTGATCCTTGAGCCTTTAATTGCCTGGCTTTACATGACTATACTTGAATTACTTACTGAGTTTTAATGACTACATGTAAGTTAAAATACCTTACAAATTATGCAGTTCCTTCTGACTTTTGCCTATCTAAAGGATGAAGGAGTATTTATGTGTTAGGTATACTTGTGCCATTATAAGCTATACTATAGCTGCTTAATAGGTGAAATCTAGATGTCATTTTGACTATGACAGCTGAGACATATGCCTTACATATTCTGAAGTTTTTAGACAACAGTGGTCTGAGATGTTATTAAAGATAGTGAACTGGTTTTTCTTTTAAGGAGATGATATTTGAAACTACAAGTTTTATAAAAATGTTTATGTGTCTTAAATGATAATTTGTTTTAATATTTTCTAAAGAGTGATTTTTTTTTTTTTAGAAACTTAAAGTTTCATTTTGATGCTTCCATGTTGAAAGATTTTTTTTTATTTAAAACCTTTTGGGACTTAGGTTACTTTTTAAGTTTTAGAACTCATTTTCCTGATCATCTACTTTTAGTAGAAGGAATGGCTACTAATGTTTAATAAGCTAATGGTAGGATAAGCATTTGGGGTAGAGTATTTTTTTAACATATTTGTAAGTACTTGTGGAAATGTGTAGTTGACTAAAACCATAGGTAGCTACAAAACCCACTTTTGTAGCTCAGAGTATACAGGTTTTGTGTGAATTTAGCTTATTGCATTAAATTATTGTTCTTAGCTTAAAATAAAGATTAAAATTGCATTTAAGGAGAAAAAAATAAAAATAAAAGCAAGCATCATGATGAACTTTGCAGCCTAACTAGAAGAGGTAATACACTAGTGCAAATAGATCAGGAGCAAACCAGGTACCAAGTGGACAGACAAGGCGACTGTTAAAGGACTGGCATTGACAGGCCCAAAAGACAGACAGGGCAGGAGAAATAGCCCTCTGGGCACTAGGCATCTGCCACTCTCCATTCAGAGGGTACAGAGAAAGCTGTGGATTTGCTCAGTGGGGACCAAGATCATGATGCTGGTGTAACCATGGATTAAGAGTCACCAAGTTTAAAAGGCAGATTTGGTGTGGAATACATGCTGTTTCTTTTGACTTGGTGAGAGGCCTACTTATTTAGATTCTATGGTCACACCTGGCACACTGCAAATAATAGTTATCCAATAAACATTTTTGCAGTTGAACTCAAAGAGACCAGTTCCATCCAAATGGCAACATATCCAAAGTACAACACACACAAGAGGAAATTAGGTCTCTTTGTCACTAGTCTCCTTTTTTTAAATTTAACCAACTAACATTAATTATCTTCCAGGAACTCTTCTGAATACATAGGCACAGTAAATCATTTGATTCTCACAAGAACTCTTTGTTCTATTGTTAAACCCATTTTATAGATAAGGAAACTTGGGTCTAGAGAGATATTAAGTTGCTCACCCAGGGTCACAATCTGGTAAATGGTAGAGCTGGGATTTAGATACTAGCAGTCTGGTCAAGGTCATGCACTGAGCCACTGTACTCTACATCTTCTCTATGGATCAAGACCCTCAAGGGACTTGAAAACTCATCACACTCCAACATGCAGCTGTGTCATTGGGCATTCTGATGTGACCAAGGCAAGGCCACATGTTTACCAACCCCATTCTCTTTTCTTCTTGGGCACAAATGCTACATATCCAAGCCTTATAGTTGAGCTCTGGTCACAGACTAAGTACAAACAATAGAATGTGGGTGAAAGTGAAGAAAGTCCCCAAGAAGCCTAGCCATAACACCTCTGCACCTTTCTACTCTTGCCTGTAGCCAGACACCGAGGAAAAAGAGGAAGACACCAAACCCCAGAAAACGAAAGAGCCCCAGATAAATGGAGCTTGTGTTCCTGCATGTACATGGAAGAGAGGAGCTGCCCAGCTTCCAATGACCCATCCTGGGTTGTGACAAGATCAAGAAATAAACCTTTGCTGTGATAAGTTATTAAGAGTATCAGGTTGTCTGCACAAAAATCAGCTCCAAATGGATCAAAAAAACCTAGGAATTAGACCAGAAACTATGCAACTCCTAGAAGAAAGTGTAGGGTCAGCATTCCAACATATAGGTACAGGCGATGATTTTTAAGACCCTTAAAGATCAGGAAATAATGCCAACAGTTAATAATGAGATGGCATCACATTAAAGTTTCTGCACAGATAAGGAAACAATTGAAAATGTGAAGAAAGAATCTACAGGAGAATATCTTTGCTAGTTATTCTTCTGACAGAGGATTAATATCTAAAATATATAAAGAACTGAAAAAATTTAATACCAACCCCCACAATAACCCAATTAGTAAATGGGCAAATGAATTACATAGAAATACAAATGGCCAACAAATATATGAAAAAATGTTCAACATCATTAGCAATTATGGAAATGCAAATCAAGACAGAGATTTTGTCTCACAGCAGTCAGAATGACAACCATTAAGAATACAAACAATAAGGGGCTCAAGTTGTGGCTCAGCGGTGGAGCCTTGCACGTGCGAGACCCTGGGTTCGATCCTCAGCATCACATAAAAATAAATAGGTGAAATAAATGTATTGTGTCCAGCTACAACTAAAAAAATAAATATTAAAAAAGAATAGAAACAATAATAAATACTAAAAAGGATGTGGAGAAAAAGGAACATTTTTACACTGTTGGTGGGATCGTAAATTAGTACAACCACTAGGGAAATCAATATGGAGGTTCCTCAAAAGACTAGGCATGGAACTACCTACCATGTGACCTAGCTATACCACCTTTTGGTATATTATTCTGAAAAGTTAAAATCATCATATTACAGTGATACATACTTACCTATGTTTATAGCAGCACAATTCACAATAGCCAAACTATGGAACTGCCCTAGATGTCCATCAATAGATTAATGGATAAAGAAAATGTGGTACATATACACAATGGAGTTTTATTCAACTATAAAGAAGAATGAAATTATGTCGTTTGCAGGAAAATGGATGGGACTTGAGACCATATGTTAAGCAAAGTATGCCAAACTCAGGCAGTCAAGGGTTGTATGTTTTCTCTCATTTGTTGAAGTAGAGAGAAAAAAGGAAAAGAAAGTGGTGGGGCAAGGATCTCATGAAAATCAAAGGGAGATAAACAGAGGAAAGGGATGGGAGGGGTAAAGGGGAGGAGTGCTGGGGAGGGATGTTGGCCAAATTATATTGTTATATTGTGTGCATGTATAAATGTGTAACAAAAAAGTCATTATTATATATAATTATAATGCACCGATTTAAAAAAAAATGGGGGAGAAGAAAAAATTGTGTCTGTACTGAACAGTATTTTTTCTTGTAATTATTTTCTAAACAATAATATCAGCTATTTATCCTGCAAAAAAAAAAAGAATATCAGGTTGTTGCTGGGTGCAGTGGTGCACAACTGGGAATCTACTCCAGTGGCTGAGGCAGGAAGATCACAAGTTCAAGTCTAATATTGGCAACTTGGTGAGATGTTGTCTCCAAATAAAATAAAAAGGGCTGGGAATGTATCTCAGTGGTAGAGCAGCCCTGGGTTCAATTCCAAGTATTAGAAAAAGGGATTTTGTTATATTTAGAATGATTACACTTCAAAATATAGAAAAATCATTTTAACAAAGAAGAATGAGATTAACATTATGAAGAAATCCAAACGTATAACTTCACCTTTGGTTTCTTAGGTTGTAAGAGTGGCTTTTGTTATTCATCTAGTTGGTGAGTTAAGACTCTCAGCCAAAATGACAGGAGATTGGGGAAAAGGGAAGACAAATATGTGAGTGCTTTAAAACATCTAGATAAATGCCTCTAAGCCACTCTAAGTGAGATTTCAAACAAGGAATTAGTCTCTTATGATGGGAAAGCTTTGCTCAATACCCTCAACATGTAAAAATCTAGACTGTCAGCTTATTCAGAATTGGCATCTGTAACAATTCTTGCTAGAGACCCCACACTTCCTTAATGCTGACATCCCTCAACAAAATGAAAGGAATTTGTTCTTTAGTATTTGTGAGAAATACCAAGTTAAATCATTTGAAGGTTAATCCTATTTTATTCACTTGTCTTATTTCTCTAATGACAAACTAAAGGCATATGGGTGTATTTCAGCCTTCCTGAGTGGCACTTCATTGATGTACCATCTGATCTATGAAGGCATTTAAATACAGAAATCAAAATGGCCAAACTCCATTTACTGTGGTGTCAGAGGTGTAGCCAGGGTTTGGGGAAAAGATACAGGGGAACTGGCTGCAGTGTCACACACCTGTAATCCCAGGGATTTGGGAGGCTGACA